AACCGAACAGGCCTCAACGGCGGCTTTTGAGACGCTAATGGCTCAAAAAATTAGGTCAAGATACCAAACCGGTTTTTTTTAAGTAGATGAGAGGTTCAAACACTTTTAGATGTGATAAACCATGCGAAATTTAGTCTTAGGCAGATAATGAAGCTTGAAAAAAGCGAAGAAGAGTGACTAAATTGGCGGCGACTGCATCAATTAAGAGGGGTCATTAATAGAGTCAATATTGCAATCTCATTGGCTAAATGGAATGCCTACTTTGTAGAAAAGCGCATAATATCCTGAGCAAATCCACTTTGCTGTTACTGGTACTTCATGTGGGACGAAATTGAAGTTTCAATTTTAATCCTTACAATCCTTGGTCCTGACAGCTTAAGCTACAAGGGATTTTTGAACGAGTAGGCACTTACCCAAAGTCAGGCCATACCCCTTTTCCTAGTTTTTAATGTCGACTTTGGGGGATTTTGTGGTGTAATGCTTTGCTGGTTTGTTTAGCTCACAACCACCTAAAAGCCCAAGATTTGCACTTTCAGAAGTACGGCAGCTTGACTACGTCAATACCCTGTGCCTCCCCTGTATGTTAGTAGCGCACACCTAGCTACGCCACCTTGACTGCTTTCATATTCAGAGGAGGTATTTAAATTCCATCAGCGCAGAAACAGTGTTTTGTGGTTTCTTACACAAGCAACAGTGAACTAGATTTACAGTTGACTATGGCGATGCATTTGTTCCAAATAATGGGCAATGTAACGCAGGAATTGGTGTGGTTCAGCACTTCGTCCTTTGATTCGACCTGTGGTCCAGTTGCAGGATCAGTCTTGTTAACCCACATATTAGGAGCCTGATGACTTACCAGCTGGGAGAGACGTACACGGCCACAGGGGCAGGTGAGGCATTGGGAGGGCAGAAGAGGGCAGGGTTGGCACTCGCCAGGGTGACATAAGGCGATGCATTTGTGGTGGCCGCAAGCCAGGGGCCGATCGCAGGTCTGCTCGCAGGAAAATACTGTACCCACAAAGATCGCCTCCACCGCTTCTTCGGAAGCCAGTATCGCCGCTTTCTCCTCTTCACCACCGTCAAAAAACATTTCTATCTCAAAGAGATCTAAGGTGCCCACCACCGCTTCCAGCCTAGCCTCACGCAGATCATAGCGCTTGGCCTTTTCACTGCCACAACGCGTGACTTCATCTACTCGGCCACAGTAGCAAACTAGAGGCACAAAGGCAACACCTCATGCCAAGAATACCGTATGAATCTGGTGAGTTAAATTAGTGTAACTGAGCATTATGGGCAAATAAGTTTCCGCAGAAACTATTTCAATAAAATCAATCCAGAATGGTGTTTTGTGAAACATTCGCAAGCAAAAAGTTATGTTTCGCCCTGGGAGTAGAAATGAAACAAATTGGCCTCATGATCCGAGTATGGGGTAGATGTACTAGTTTCTAAAGTGTATGCGCAAAGGCTAGGAAAACAGCCTTCAATTGAGTGGCAGAAGCATTGGAGGTAGAGAGGACGAAGTGTGAGACCCGGAACCTCAACGCATCACTTAAAAAAGCTTGCACAGGTATGTACAGCCATAAGACAAAAATCCTCAACACTAACCGCAAAGGCATTTGGTTAAATCAACAGGCAGTGTTGCGAGTAGATTGACTTCCTTAAATTCTAGACTGGCACTCCCAATGCAAAGCAATGGGAAAAAATGGGAAAAAAACTTGCAGTTGAAAACTCCACTTTTGCTTTGTTTTGTAGATTAAGAGTCATTAGGTATTTTTCATGTTTATGATATAAGCCCTATTACTTTTCCCATCGTCCTTAGAAGTGAGCTTCATGTTCATTTCCAATAGAGAAATTTTAGAGAAAATGATTATTTGAACACAGTTTCAGTAAATAAATAATAAAATTAAGCTAGAGAAGCGTCTGAAAAATCAACCGACTTTTCCGACCTTCCCCCACAAATCCGAGAACAACTAGGATCACTATCATCCAGTTTTCAGCACCGAGGGTTCTAGTAAAAAAACAGTCTCCTGTTGGATTTTTCAAAGTCCAAAATATGAGTTAAAAGACACGCTTAAGACAGAAAATAACGGTACATCAATACAACAAGACTTTAACAAGCCGACCATGGGAAAATGAAACAATAAAGATTTGGCTGTCACGGAATTCGTAAGTCATTTTAATGGAGTGATCAAAGAATGCCGACAAAGCCGACCAACACAGCAATAAAAATTGAGCACATTATGCTCGCACCAAATGGAGACCAAACACAATGTCTAAGTTAAGAAATAGAGAACAAAGCAATGCTGAACCTAAAGCCTTTCCCGGACGAGGTGTAACCACACTGCTATTTGATGACGAGCACAAGCTTGACCAGGATTTAGAAGGTTAGTCCTCGTAATTTACCTAAAACAAGTAATGTTCTGTGGTGCAAGACCTACCTTAAGGCCACAAACAATCAAAGTTTCGGCAGGAAATGCTTTGCCGAAAAAAAAATCAGTACTGAAAATAGCCAGCACAGCCCCTCCTGACTGGTTCACTTATTGCAAATTCCATCCGTTAATCTGTGAGGCTGGCTAACCTGGTAGGGAAAAGGCAAAACTTAGACTACATATTGCGATTCCAAACAAAAACAAGTGCTACTTACACTTACAAGAGCGGGTACAACAAACCACGAGTATGTGACGAATTTAAGGCGTTCAAGCACAAATCAGAAAGCAATGGAACTGGAAATTCCAAATATTCAGTAAATAGCATGCTATAAAATATTACCTCTTTAATTTGCACAGGGGGTGAAACAAAACCATATGCTACTTTCCCCTAAAGAAATTATTAATTAAACAGCCGAAGGTAGCTTTGACATTCCAAATTAATATCAAAGCATTTTTTCAGCAGAAACTTGCACCGTCTTCAGCGTAAAAAAGGCACCAGTCGTGAAAAATGAACGGTAAGTATTGTCCATTAGGTAATTCGGTCAATTTTCATCTTACAGCTGAAATGATTGGTCAATAAGCGTTTAGATCGGAGTGAAATAAAACCTGGGACAATCACAGCACACTCCAATGCAATTTTGTAGCAAAATTGGTTGCTGGCCAAGAGGCAAAAGAGAAAACGGAACAGAGAACAAGAATGAAATGTTTGACATTGCTTAAAGAGAACGAGGTACGCAGAAAACAGTTCAAACAGGAATTGGCAACGATGAATTCCGTCGAGACAAGTCTCGAAGACACTTCCACGCAAGAGAACTGCAAAGCTATGGAGTTTACCAACATACCGAGTCTGGACACAGTTAAAGATATCCCTTCTTAAAAAACATAATCCGGCCCACATGCATTTGGAGGTACGCACGGAGGGGTCAACAGCATTACACTTTGGGAATTTGAGAAGGCAGGACCATAATAAGCATACATTTCTTTTAAAATCTTTTCACCATAAAAATGGGATCGTTAAATCATTTAAATTCAAGCCCAGTGTATCATAACCTTTGACGTATTCTTTGAAAATTTATATTAGAGGTTGAATAAATCCAACTTAGTTTGAACACTTTTGTATACATTAGTGAAGGGAAACTGAGAGAGAAAGATGTGATTAGATCCAAAAAATAATTACAAAAGCACTCAAGCGAGGTGATAAACACTGGATCAAAACGGAAGTGATAAAAGAAAGTTAAGAGATAAAGTAAAAAAACGCAAGATATTTAAAATGAAAACAAACCGACTACCACCTTATAAGCTAAACTAGAGTAAAGTTACATCGGGGGAAGCAAAAAACGAATTCAAGTCTACCTTACCAGTCTTAAAAATCAAAAGGACATTCTCGCATTCTTCTTATTAATTATGTGCCACACACACTTGCAAAGGGTTGGCACATATTCAGTTTGTATTACCAAATGAAACCAAATTAAGGATAACGAGTTGTCAAAGGAAGTACTATTCTGGGTTGCATCACCGTCAGCTCAAGGTCTTGAAATTGGTCATCTCAGTAGATGGTGACATCAATTAAACATTACAAAAGTATATTCTTGAAATGGCGCCTGACTAATGCTGCTTACTGTGGTAAATAGCACTTTAATTTGAAATTCAGGACAGCACCGAATGACGCAGGAATTCGGTGTACCCGCCAGGATTGACAAAGTGACTCAAATGGTGACAGGATTGAGGGAACGGTGCTATGCTTTTAATCATGTCATTTCTAAACCGTCTACACCACCAAAAATGGCTGTCAGCTTCTAATGGACTTCCGGTTAGTGCGAAAGGCAAATGTGTCACGTCATCTCGACTTCTTTCATTGGCCTACACAGGCGCTGTAATTAACGCAGGACACAAATTTTTAAGATACGTAAGGCCAAATTTGCAAATTACAAATCGCGTAGAGTAGACCAAGACGAAATGAATTGCACCATGAAGGGTAATTAGTGCTTTTGGAAGCCTACAAAGATTTTCCTTTCTAATTCTCCTGAGTTGAGGAAGTGTAAATTCAATCAGTTTATTTTAATTCCTCATGGAATTTGCTCCTATGTGCACAAAGACAAAACAGCAAGCATTTAGGAGAAGGAACCAAACCCCACCTGGCTGAGGTGGATTAAAAAAAGCAGCATCCCATGAATGTTAATAGGCCCTGCCACGAAGAAGGACAGAAAGGACCATTCGTTGTGAATATCAAAAAATCAATCGCTGTAATGTTTCGCAAATATTCTTCTCCAAACAAATCTGTCGAAAAATACATGAAATTGAATGTTTTCATAGTTCTTCATGATAAATCTTCTACTCTTAAAAACAATACAAAATACCGAATTCCGAAGTGAGAGAGCACAGCTCACCCGATTTTATAAGCTTCCTGCAGGGCGGACAATCGCCATCATGGCATAGCAGGGGGCAATGGTGGCTACCGAAGGCGCAAAGTCTTGTAGGCAGGAGTCTATCACAAGGGGCCCCGCAGGGCTTCGGAGGTTCCTCTCCGCATCGCGAAGTTTGTACCACGCGTCCGCAAGGGCAGTGTAGCTGAACCAGAGCCGTGCACGGTGGACAGGGACCGGGGTGACAAAGTCTAGCGGAATATGAAATTTAAACGTTACTTAAATTGCTTGAGTAGGCAATAAGTACTACAAGGTCGCACATAGCGATACAAATGCGGAGAAAAATGCATAAAAAATATTCTAGGTCCAGCAGCCCTACTTAATACTCTAATAAAGGAATACGACACATCACATGGTTTCACGCAACATGCAACTATACAATCATCACTCATACTTAATGTAAGTACCGAAATAGCAAAAAAAGGTAGCAATTCAATGAAACCCACGATGAGACCAGTAGATTCAATAGCTTCAACTCACTCTGTGCAGGTATGCGGACATGGTGACGCCCTTCTATTCTGCTGATTGGCTTTTTCACTGGCAAGTGCCTTTGACCTGCCACACACTTCGTCACAGCCATGCGGGATGGTTGAAAATCCGGGACGATACTCGGGTCGAACGGTTTTACCACAAAAACATCGATAAATGAGGGAAGTTGTTAGAGATGAGTAGGACTTTTGACAAGCTGGACATCGCCACGACGATCGCATTTTCTGATTTGTCCGAGGTTCAGCTCCAGATTTCTGTGTATTCGAAATAGCCCAATCAGTGATGCAGCTAAGGTGGTACACACGATAACACCCAAAACACGACCAAATTTTGTCCACTGGCTCAACATTGGATAGGCAAATCAGGCAAGCATACGAACCCGACCGGAGCTGTTCAATTAAGGTTTCTAAAACAGTAAAACAAATACGAGGAAGCAAGAGCAAGCAATTGTTCAATTCCACCGCTCATAAAGACATACCTCGTAGATTAAGACTGCTTAATGAAGTTTCCAGCGCTTCAACAATACCTACTTGTAGATTGCAATCAATTGGAGTAGAAACCAAGGGCATGGCTTCGCCAGTGCCCTCGCTAATTGGAGGAGATTCAGTGGGTCTTTCATCGCCCTGAAGACTTTCAAGGTGAGGATCAAGAGCTTCACTTCTGGCAAGCATATGAAACCCATCTACCTGTTCTCCTGATGAAATTGGAATAACTTCATTGCGTAGTCGGTTTCTGTTCCGACGCTGATCCAAATGTCGTTTTCTATGGCGCATGTGCGTCTCATTACGTGGAAAATTTTGTGTTCTATTGATCGCTTTAGTGTGACTAGGTCGGTCACAAACGGCGCCCCCCCGCCGCATTATAGCAAACGAAACCCAGCAGAAGCGAATCGAAGATCGCGCCTTTGCATGCACAATCCGCAGTCCTAGTAAACAATTTTCAAGTACACATTTAAGAAAGAACTCGCTGAAAAGTATTTAGGTCAAGGAAAATAAGTTATCGTTGTCCGAAAATGTCTTTTATAACGACAAGAACTCGTTGGGTGCGGCAGCAAAATTCAGTTATTTAGCCATTAAAGTTTCCTGAAGACTAGGCATTGAATAAAAGTTAAAATATAATAGCAAACAATAAGGAAATTTGCTTAAACAATTTGAAAATTGCCTAGCTAAAAGCGTTGAGATATTTTTGTGGCTTATGCAACAGTTGGCATAGATAGAGGCGCACGGCTGGACTGCTGCCGACGGAGGGTTTTACCTCATATCAATGCCAGCAAGCAAACCACCTTTCCGCTTGTCACTTTACGTGTGCTACGCAAGTATAGTACAATTTGGATTTATGGTGCAGAATGGTTAAATATATCCAGTTTCAATTACTACCTTCTTTTCTTATCGCCCCAGAATGCATTTAATCAGTCAAGCTTAGTCTCATTTTGTACGTGGAGTTAAGTATAGAAGAACTGCACTAGTGGGAGAATAAAACAGGTCTGGCTCTTTTAATGACTTTCTCTCTCGTGTCCACCGTTTGTGGCAGTTATATATTGTGCGAAGGAAGCGCATATGCGATATAAGGGAAACAGGGAATCTAATAAATTTGTTTTTATTTGGCTTTACTGCACTGCATTCTGCCCAACGTTGTGCTTTCTTCTACTCAGAGGAAGTATCCAGGTGCTACACTCATCCCATACAGGACTGTTTCATCCCGTCTTCTTGCTAAACATCTAATTCAGGTCAGTGCATCTGTAGAGTCCTGAGGCTCCAAATGGGGTAGTAGAAGGCATTAGTGAGGTTGAATACATATATTCCGAAAACAATAGGAGGAATGGGACCTGAGCGTGGCCCAAAGGCCAGCACACGTGTACAGGGCTCAGACAAGCTCTAAACAAAGCATTACAGCATCAATGTCCAGTCCATAGCACGAATGCGGTCAACAGACAATGTTCCCCACAACTCTTGCTTACAGACAAAGTGCAACTCTAGGTCAAGTACAATCCCCCAGTCTCATAGTAGCCGACGACTGGCGTAACTGGATCATAAAGGTAAACTTGCATTACTGAATCTTTTGTGATTGCTGACACCAAGGAGAGCGTTAAGACATCGCTCAAAAGAGCTGGGAAATATAGTGCCGCGAACTATTTGTCTGACAGCTCCTGTGATGTTCGGCTTGCTCCTCTATGCGTGAGCTGGCAGTCAGACCAAATCAAAGTCCACTCTCTTCTCTTCCTTTTGAAGAGGTCTCCTATTTAGCAAGAAGTTTTCGAAAACAACATGTACCGTCTAACATTTAGTGAAATACCATAAGTTTTTGCAAATATACTTAGAACGAAATCTTACTTCGTTTTGTAAGAACTGCCTGCCTACCCTCAGGCATTGAATACAGGAAGAACGGGTATGGAGTATAGATGAGCCGAATAGCAGATCTCACCCGGAGAGTGATTTTTACGAACCTCACGCACCGGATTCACGTTCGAATTAATTTCCTACTTCTCCTCTTTTAAGACAAACTTATACGCTCTAGTACCTGACCACCCGATGTTTGGTGGTCACTTTGGAAGTTGTCTCAACCTTTTCTTACGGGCTGGTCCAGTTGTTTTGTCCTCTATGTAATATGTGTATCCAGCTTCACTTACTACCTTCTTCCACTCGTTAAGAAGTCTCGAAACGCCACAATACGTTTCACTATTGGTAATCCTGACGTTTATTTCACAATCCAGTGATTCGCTGGAGCGTAAATCTAATGCGTTTGAGACAAAATTTAGCCTAAATTGAAGACAATACCAAATGTTTCAGCTGGACTGGTCAGATCAGGCCAAGCGTCGCTACATTAAAGTAAAAATTTTATGTATTTGCCTGAAAATCCCCAAAAAATAGCATTATAATAAAAAAATCTTAGCAAAGGTGAGCTACCTCAACCTCATACTATGGGGAATTTATGATCACTGACTTTTTGTAGTATGAACTTCAGAAGCCTAAAACTCATGCGCTCGATCACTTAGATTTGTTCCAATTGTTTAAGGTAATGGTCTCGAGTTTTACTTATCATTGTGGTTGACCGCTCCTATTGAGCGGTGACGCTGGCTTCAGATTGCTTGTGGTCAGTATTTGCTTCGCTTTCTCCATATTGCCTCAAAATTTTATCACACAGTGACTATTGGCGGTTGGACCGTTTTCCTTCTGCCCTTCAAATGTGCTAGAAGTCTCGCAGATGCCCCGTAAGTGTAGGAGGATTATTGATGCTTCTATCAAGTATTTTACGAAGTATATTCCGTAGTGTGTGGCAAATTGCTCTGTTTGTGCTCCTTTTCTGCCTTTTATAATTGGTTTATAGATGCATTGCTCGAATTCTCTGCCCCAGCTTCATTCGTAACATATTGTCACACTAGCGACCCAAATGTATCCTTGACGAGTATCCCACCGTTGAAATTTTTCTTTGTTGTTTGCTTAGGTTCCTAGCATTATGCAACTTTATGACCATGGAATTACACTTCATGTGTCATTTTGCTCAACTCTACTCGTATTGTGCGTTCATGGGTTATCCTGAAATAATTAGTCCAGTTTTGCACTCAATTTCTTTACCTTTCCATATTCTACAAAAGCAAGTCTACGCAACACATGTGGAATTACTGAATGATCCCATTTGAGTTACTGCGCCTTACATCTGTTTTGTGTTTCATTCAGATTGGCCACTTTTCTGTCGAATGTCAAATCTATTTTTGCCTACTTACTTAGGAGCGTATCTTTTCCATTTCGGGAGCCATGGAAACTCCTTTGTTAGGAACGTGCCGCTTGAGTTCATGAATCTATTGAGGTTTTATGGATTCTCCGTTCCTTGAGCCTTTTTCTCCTTCATCGATCTTTTTACTTTTGTCTCTCCCGTTTACCATGCCCGTTTTTGCCGCACTATTTTTTCCTCATAGTTTTCCTGAATCCGTTTATGTTGATCCTTTTAACCTACTTTAAGCAGTGTCGATGGGGTTAAACTGCTTTGGGTGATGCTACGACCATTTAGCCATTTGTGTGTGTTCACAGTGCGCACCAATCAGAGGTCTAGGAGTGGGTACATGTGCGCACGCACATTTGCGCCCCAACTGCGCTTGGGCGTCCCTCGGCGCTCTGGCCCGTTGCCGCTACTATTTCTGCTAGCCTACGTGTGTGCCTGTGCGCTTTTGCGTTTGCCTGTGGATCGGTGTGTGGGTGCGCATGTGTGCTTACTCAATTGTGGGATGTCTCCTTCCCCTCCTCCGCCCACACTTCTAAGCCATGCTTTCCTTTTTAACTAGTAAACGTCACAACCGAAAAGGAGTCTCTGTTGATCGCGCGATTTGTAAGTCCTTCGCTCTTTTCTCGTACCTACTTCGTCGGCTGACGCTCTTTTAGCCATCAGTCACGTATTTTGTCACCTCTGTACTCTTCGTAGTCATCGATCCTCTAAATCTTCTCTTGACAGTTACAATATCGCGGTCACCTTTTGTATGAAAAGCAGCTCTTTTCCAATGTTCATCTGCCTCATGTTTCTTGGTTACCTAAGTTCTATACTTTCAACCTATTTGAAATTGAAATTCATCCGTCTAATAGATGATTCGCCCCATAACATTTAGGTATGTGCATTGATTCTCTTATTGCTCACGTTGGGCCAAAGCTCTTGCACTCAGCGAAATGTGTGATTTTGTGGCGACATTGGTTGAGCTTCTTCCGAGTTCCCATATGTTCCATTGCTGGTAAGGGGTCTTCCAATCGTAATTTTGAAATGATTCCACTCACCTTGTGTTTGATTTTCCTAACTTCGACGGAGTGTATTGTTTTAATTTTAATCGTACGCTATCAGCATAGCTCTTCCCTTCGTTTTGATTATTGCATTGGAGTCGAAAAAGGTACGCTTTACAAATTTGACAATGTCTTTCCTATCAATACTTTCATGATGCATCATCCATAGAATGACTATCACTATATCTATTGTCTGTTTGGCAAGCCAGACCTTGAAGGGGTGATTCGTGTTAACAATCTGTTATAATTCTTCTAATCCATCGTATATGCAAAGCTTGTCCGAAGCAGATTCACAAACCAGATCATACATAAGCGATTGATGGCTATACGCTCCCCAGTGCAGGTCACATGGTAGATGACCATTGAAGCGAGGATTTTGTTCATTTGCCCCTGAGGTGATCGATTACCTGAAGCTTAGTAATAAGTAAATCTTTCGATTCAGTTCATGAGGGACTTTGTCAATCAAACAAATTTATTTGCTGCTTAAAATGAAGCCCTTCCATTAAATTAGTGTTTGGTTAGTAACCCTAATATTCAATGTTTATATTTTTGATCAATTCTGCGTTTTGTTGGTGTTTTCATCTGTCGGATTCTGCTTGTTGTACACGTTTCCTCCACTTTGTAAGTAATGCTTTCCGCACATGGTCACCCTGATTTGTGGTCATCTTACCGTAAATTAACGCAAGTAAAGAAGATACCTAGATGCTGTTTCACTGGCCCATGAATGATTCATTGGTCCTCCGTCCCTACTTTCTATGTCAGCATTATTCCTCTTTCGTTTTGCCAAACGTGTATGTTTTCTTGTACTCCACTTCTTGAAGGAAAAGATGACTAAACCACGCGACCGAACTTTGGCCATCATTCCTCAACTCCAGGTAAAGACATCTATGTGACCAATTGGCATTTTGGAGCCCAAATGGCCTTTCATTCTTTGCTTTGCCTCCAAACTTAGTCGCAGGCATAGTACATTATTAACCAGCGCCTTCCAATGTTTGATTTATTTTTTGCGATTATAATCGGTCCATAAATTTGGTAGTTTAATCGCCCTATAAAACGTGGTGCCTTGAAATTGCTCTCAAACTTTTGTCCTCTCTCTACATCACAGAATCGCTATTCAACTAGGTAGATGACAGAGGAAGACTAGTAATTTCACTGTAACTCCGGGCCCACAAGCTGCTAATGACCCTCCTTCTTTAACATTTAGACCAACTTGGCACAATTTGCAATTATGCGGCGTGAGTCAAGCCACTATTATCTAAATTGCTCTCACTTCGTTACACACCCATCCTTGCACTACTACATCCCAAATAACAAAAAGTAGTAGCTTCATCATCATTAACATAATCTTTTCTAATCGAATTTGTATTTGATCGAAAAATGGATATGATCTTTATGGCGACACTTAACGGTGTCTCTTCCTTAACTTGCAATGTAGGCTGCAAATGCTTTTTAGATCTCCTCCTCAATAATTCCGTGGTATGAAATAATATTGAAACTTTATTGTAAAGCAACTGACTAATACTTAGCATGTAAATCCCACCTAACTGGTGGGTACCCCAAGAACAGCTTTTATCAATCAACGTTAACTGGTGACATAACGTTGAACTTTTGTCTTTATGAGTGGATTTGTTATCCATCTCCATTATTTTATTGGTTGAATGTGGTAAATTCTTTGCCAAAGCCCTTCGCCATTGTCTCAGAGGTTTTGCAAATTTCTCTGTGATGGATAATGGAGGGTTCATTGCATGTGACATTGCTCGGTAACTCATGTTTACACACACTATCTGCTTAAGCGCCATGCGTGAAGGCTCGACTACTTTACCAAGTTTTCTAATCAACCTTCCAATAAGTTCCAGCTGCTTATCTTGCCGCGATACCATTGCACTTAATAATTCTATCCTATAACTGAGTTTTCGTTGGTTCTTTTATTCAGCATACTGAATGTTGACCTTGGAAATCGAGCCCATGATTTGAATTGGTACTTATACTTATTATAGATTTTGAGTATTTACTGGGAAATGGAAGGTTACGCTCAACGTTCCTTGAAGTGACGTGTGAAGAAGGTGTACTACTCCAGAAGTACTGCAATACTACAGACGTTTGGTCTATCCTACCATTTGCGAATGAGCAGTTTAGTGGAGTCAATTTAGGTTCTGAAATTTTCAGTTATTATCACCTCGTCGTCTTAATTGCAGTCGACACTTTGTTCACTTAAATACTTTTTTGAACTGCGCATTGGCAGCTAAGTTGGATGCAATAAACTCGTCTATGTCCACAGCTTCCGCTCATACCTTTTGGAGGCCATGCTAAGGCATTTGGAATTCCTTCGGCACCTGCGCATTGCATCTAAGAGACGCAAGTTCAGCAAATTAACACAGGGTTGCGGCACTTTGTATACCTTCGTGCAATCATTTTGGAAGTCCATTTGCCCAGAATCTTTTTAATTTCGCGTGGAATTTGACCCTGGAGTGTTTTCTCGGATGGCGTGTCACTTTAATATTTTTTTCGTTTTAATTCTTTTTCATAGTCGTCCAGATTACGTTCCTATTTTCTGTCTCCAAGTTTTCTGTGTGGTTTAGTTTGAAAACATCTCATTGTTCCTTGGGGTTTGCTTTTTTTACAAATGTTAAGGACAGTAATTACCTTGGTTATTTTTCAAACCTCGTAGTAACAGGGAAAAGCCATTAGCCTTAGCGCTGCTGTTCCCATTTTGCATTCTTCCCACTGGGAGGAAAAAGAATGTGAACGGGGCTGTGTGTAAAATGCCATCATTCTCTTCATTGCCCACAGGAGTGCCCGCTATTGCAACAAGTTTTTTGGTTTTCCTGCTATCCCAATAGGGTGCAAGCGAAAATGCAGAGGGCAAATACATCATTCCACTTATGTCGGCTGTCATAATAGTTTGGTTGCAAAATACATCTCGAAATATGTCATTTTTTTTCGTGTAAGTTGATTTTTCGTTGCTTCAATCTGCTTTAGTGGATATTTTACAACAGTCACTAGCATTTTTTGGATTTTTTTCGTGTTTATATTAAAACAGAAAGATATTCTGTTCCTTCTGCGTTGTATCCAAAACCTCTTTATCGCCATGTTCTGTTGCGCTGAGGCAAATGCCTCGGCATGCATTCGGTGTCTGACCTACTTTGGCGGTACACAATTGCTAGTATGGTTTAATGATGGTTGCTAACATGCTGTGGAGTAAGCTCGAAAACCGCTCTTTTTGTTTGCGTTTTTTGTAGACATTGGAAGTGATCGGAAGTCTTATGAGCACAAAGGTCCATTGCTAGTGTTTAATTGATTGTGTTTTCTACCAGTGTTATCATTGCTCCTGAGGCGCACTTGCCATGGTAATCATTAGACATCTGCATCTCATTCATAAGCACGCCGATCTGTACATTTTCAAATGAAAATCAACCATTTTAATAACATCTTAGCATGTTGTTGCTGATCATGTTTAATCCTACTATTATCCTTTGGTGAATCCTGGCATTTCAACTATCTTGAATTGGTTGATTTTATCATTTTATATTTTAGATCGTAAGCAAAAGGGGTTTAAGTTTGGGAATCTCTTTAAAAAGTCTTCAACATCTCCTCCTCCACCACCAAAGTTGCCGACGTGTGTCGCTTTGCCCACCTCAGTCATCTCAGCAACTGATGATGCTCTCGCCGTCTCACATCGGCGAGCTGTCAGCGATCTAGTCATAGTCACCTCTGGTAGTCCACCTATCTCGCCTTTTATGCAACAGCCTCCGCAGACCCCTGATAGCGGTATCAATCAGCCCTCCGCTACTTCCCCCTTCTACTCTTCCTCCTCATCAACTTTCGCCAGCTCCAAAATGTACTCGGGAAGTGTGGATTCCGCGGCCGGCACCACTTCTTTCACTTCTAATCGTTTTTCTTGGCCTAAGTCAAGTTCCTCTTCCTCTTCGGAGGCAAGCTCTCTCTCCACCGCTCTCTCCAACAATCTTCGTCTCACCGCTAATGGCAGCACTGCCGCCTCTGGCAACAGTCTTTTTACTTCTCCACCAAAAAGCTCCGCTTGCACCAGCGCACCTGTGAGTGGGACTGAAGTTCCTACCACAAGTACACCGCAGCGTTTACCGCGGTTTGTGGCAGGCACAACGATTGCAGAGGAGGATGAAGAGGCTGAAGAAGCGACTAGTGAAGTGGATGGAAGAACCGTGACAGCGGCGGTCCTGCCACTACCTCCAGACTCCACCACAATTACCCCTGTTGGCGAGGTTGACGCAGGTTTTGCGGCTACTGTGGCGCAGGTTTCCCGCCGCACTGGGACCTCTGCACAGGAGCTGTATGCACGCATGAAAGAGGTGCGTCGCCGTCCCGAGGATGTGCGTAACAGGCTAAGGGGTCAGGCGAATGCTGTAGTGTCCTCGAGCAGCAACAACAACGGCAACAGCGTTGGCTACGGTACCGCTGGTACCTCGAAGCGCCTTTCCCTGCCAGCAAGTCTTCACCTACCACCTCACTTGCGTCAGAAGGCTATTCAACTTCTCGAAGAGCCCATGAGCAGGAGAGAACGTCGCTTGTCTCTGGTATGTTTATTTGCCTTTAGACTGAAGTATTCTTCAACCTGTGATCTTGTACAGCCATCCTTTTATTTCTCTTAACTCTATCTACCTTTACCTACTATGCAGTCTAGATTAGTTAACATTCGCCTGCCGTGTGACACAATTTGGATAATTTGCGTTCTTAGCACGCTTTAATTTTTGCTCGACTTGCTTTGATCCAAATGGGACGATGAATAATCTGCTGCGTTAACACGTCATGATTTGGTGCCACTTAATTTGCCATTCGCATATTGCATTTGCTCTCAATTTGTTATCTCCTTTTCCGTTTGATGCTAAATTTGACTTAATTCCAAATTTAGCTTTTTCATTAGTAGGCATGCTACACTTTCTGTTCCCCTTTTCCTGTTCATTTTGGAGTCACTAACTTCTTTATTATGGTCCAGTTGCCACATAAGTAGATGAACGTCGTCAAACAAACAATTTGCTCCATTTGGATATGCACTGAAGGATGTAAGGGGCCAGGACACCAGAGCTCTTTAGGTGATAGTCGCGTGTCCTCGATGCGAAGCGGATGATGCCACAGGCTTTATGCATTTTATACGCCGTGATTGTCTCCTCTTTGGTCCTCTGTGGAGTTGCCTTCGATAACAAATCTAATCATCTCATTCTTCATTTTGCTCTACTCAACTGACTTTGGGGCCGTTCCTATTCTTACCTAATTGGTGCATTTACTCTGTAACCCCAACTCTCCTTGCAATATTTCTATGAGTCACTTGCAAATCATAAATCAGATTTCAGATTGTGCTTCTTGAGAGCTTGTAATCGGAACTCTAAATATTTTACAGTGATTGGTATTTAGCTACTGCTACTTCACTTGATTAACTTATTTACTGAAGGAGCTTCTCTAACTTGCTGGTACTTGTGCAATAGCAGCAATCCATTCTACCACAAGCACGCTTTTACTCTTTCCGATATTTTTTTACGAGAATGTTGTGTTTACTTTGCATTTTCCCATCTGCAGTCTACTGCCAATTTTTTTTTAGCAAAGAAATGCTCTCCTTATGAGTTGAAAGGCAGTTCTAGTTGGTCAGATTCGAGCACTTAGTAGCAAACACCAAAAAACGGTCAAACTGACCAAGCGTCTTTTTAATGGTGCTTTCTTCAGTACCACGGCACCCAACCACTTCTGATGGTGACGATTGAACACTATTTTTTGTAAAGTACAAAACTTCATGCGCGCCCACATGTGAGCACGCAATTCCCGGTACTTCGATTGATTAGCTTTTATTTATGCAGTGCGTATTCATTTTTTTACTTTTCCCACAATGTCTAAATATTATAAGTGATGCTCTTGCCAACGAT